ACTTATGTGAGTAGATAAATGGGTACTCTCACCCCAGTGGGTGGAAAAATGCTGGCGGCGCCTTGCAAAGGAGACGGGAGCAGTTGCCGGTAACACGGAAGCTGCGTATGCCTGAAAAAGGCGCAAAGCAATGGAAACCCCGCCTCCTGCACTCGCCAGCTGGGCTCTGCTCCAGGAAGGAGGCAATGGCAAACCACTTCCGAAACACCTTGCCTTGAAAACTGCAGGGACTTGTCCAGGCAGTCACCGCAGAATCGGTAACGATTGAGTGCGGATTAAAAAAAAAATCATACTCTGAACAGGGTAACTCAGTGCATACCCAAAAGCTAGAATATCAAAGAGTAGGTAGAGTATATCTTCCTTTGGAAAGCGTCTACTGCCAGCTCTTCTGGAAGGGAACTCTCCATTTGTTGTTTCCTGACAGCAAAGTAAACTACCAGGAGTATTGGAACTGGAGACAGATGGTAACCTCACTACAATCACGTACCCATGCATTACACATTTATTTTGCCACTCATTTTAACAGAGAAATAATTTAGCAACTAGTCTATTTTTGCATTTGTTATATCCTGCTGCACCTTGCTGGAAAGGGGCTGAGTCTGCTCCCTGCTCTTGGGGACCTCGGCTGCTGAAAATAAAATCCTCTCCTGTCTGAATACAGCTGCTTGGACAGAGTGTAGTGTGTGTACCAAGACTTAGGGCAGTGTTTCTCAACCTTGACAACCTGAAGATGTGTGGACTTCAAGAATTCTGGGAGTTGAAGTCCACACTTCTTCAAGTTGCCAAGATTGAGAAACACTGACTTAGGGGCTTAGTGTCTTTCTGGGTATGAATCAATGCAGTCACTTTAGCTATTTTTATATTTAATTTCTTCTATTCAAATATCCATATGTACAGTTTGTATGTCTACATAAGCAGAAGGGGGAGATAAACAGGATGATGAAGAAAGAGGAAATGGGGACTGTTAAGAAAGTGGGATTTATTAATTGTTAATAAAAATCAATAAAATGTTGACAACAATTAAGTGATTCTTGAAGGTCTGCTAATAATCATAGTGAACATTTTTCTGAGGAATTTAGTAGTTCACTGAGTTTAAATATAAACGATGTTCATAAGATTTGTAGGTAGAGTGTACACTATCTACTACTACTGTCTGTATCAGTCCTTATTTTCAGTGACAGAATTGCCAAATGGGGATGCCCAATCTGCCAGCCACTGCATGCAGCTTTACAAAGAAACGTCTCTGCTAACAAAGCATTGCTGACCCTCAAATAAATAGAGCGGCAGGAGGAGAGATGTCTGTAACTATCATTTCAAAGAGCAGTTAAGTCCTGTGGTATTTCAAATACTGCTACGTGGACTCTAGCCCACTTCTTTAGCTACATGAAACTGGAGGGTAGTCCATAGTGGCCTTTGTCATAATACATGCATTCGTGTTTAAGGCTCTGCAAGAGTGGTAGTTAGTTTTGCAACAAGAGCTTACACAGCAATTCCTCCCAATGTTTTAAAAGCATCCATCAGCTCTTGTTGAAACTGAGCATATGCAGAGAAATAATTTGGGACGGTCGGGTTGCTGAAAATGCTACCATGAATCAAAGAGGCCAAGCAAATGGGACAATTGCAACATAGGCCTTCTGCATTCTGTTAGACGAAGGGCTGCATTTAACACTTCTGGGGAGCATGAGGGCTTCACAGGACAGGACAATAAAGCAAAATTGTCAGGATAGTACTACACAGATTGGGACAGGAATTTCTCCTTGTTTTCTCTGGGATTTGGGAAGAAGAATTTTGGGTTGAATTTGTTTTAAATGTGTTAAGCCTACTTTACAGCTTACATTACTTTCTTTGTATTTCCCATTACAAAATGGCAAGAAACACTGCAGTAATTTTCAGCAATTACAGTCAGGAGGGGCTCTAACACCTGTAGAAAAAGAGGCTGCATGTGCTCCTGGGGCTGCCGGTTGCCCACATCTGCATCAGACAGTTACAGCCGAACCATTACCCACATGCATTTATCTAAATGCCAGATAGATAGCAACACTTCCAAATACAGACATAACACCATTTAACCATCACAGGCATTGTTTGGTTAATGGGCAATTGTATCCTGCTCTGGGGAACTGACAGTGATGGGTTACCTAAGAAAGTCCAGCTTACAATCAAAACCTAAGGCAAAGGAGCTAAGGGGTGACACAGTAACACGTGCTCATAGAAGAGTGCATTTAACTCTTATCCCCTGGCATCCTAAAGGCTCCAAGAAATGAAAGGAAAATCATCTGGGAAGACTGAAGGTTGGAAAAGGAAGAGAGAAGGAGATCTGAATTATAGCTACTCTTGCTATGTGGAGTTTTGCTCTCAGGCATGGAGGTCATATTTGAATATGCCACACCCTTGGGATCACAAAATGCTCCATGGAGACAGATGGGCATAGGAAGCAAAGGGAGATACAGAGAATGGGAAAAATCAGAAGCTTTCTCCAAGTACACTGTAATCCTATGATCACATTGTGAATGCTACCCCTACTCATCCCAGCATCTTCTAACATCAAACATACCAACCTTATCCAGCACTGGGTCATCTAGTTGCTGCTGCTCAATGCACTTGTGACAAACACGGGACAGAAGTTCATGAGGTTCAATGAACAGTCTTGAGCTCAGCAGGAATGTGAAGATATAGGGCTTCTGAGGAAAGGAAACAGGAACATTCATCTAACAACAACTGACTAGAGAAGTAAATATGCAAGATCTTTCTCAAAGGCAGAAAGTCATTCAGTGGCTTATTTTGAAAAAGTGTACGCTGACTGCAGTCTCAATCTATGTAGACAGTATACAAATAGATGACCCTGTACTGGGTGTATTGGGTGTGAGATTTTGACACTTTCTCTCATGGGCTTACTTATATTTATGTTTAATAGTTTCTAATGGTTATTTAGGACTTGTTTTAATTGTTTTGTTTTATTGTACGTCACCCAAAGTCACATTTGTGAGATGAGTGCTATATAAATTTAATAAATGTGATAAATAAATATGATAAATTAATAAATAAAAAACTGAGCTAAAGCTACTGGCATATATAATATATACAAAGCTTTAAATTAGTAATTGCTGTATGTGGCATATAGTCTGAAGACATG